AAAGTTCTTCAGACTCTTGTCTCCAATTAATCAGCAAAAAAACTTGAAGTGGAGGTGTGGCTCAAGTTGTAGAGCACCATCTTTGAGGAGAAAAAAACAACAACAAGTAAGGGATAATGCTCAGAACCTGAGTTCCCAGAACCAACACACACACACACACACAAACATACATACAAACACACACACACACACACACAGTATAATCAAGATAAAACTTTGGAAGTTTCTTGATCATCCTATCTGTTTGGAAAATGAGGCATACATTTCTTACAAATCATTATGTTTTCCCACAAGTATTTTCAAAGTTGTTTCTACAAGTGACATTTTGGAAGCTGCTTCTTCTAAGTGTGGAGGGCCCATGTGGCTTCTATCCAATTGCTCACAAGAGTGTGTTGCAGTGACTCAGATCTCATTTGTTACATACTACATTATGTTGGTACCTGGATTTATCTAGAAATAATTGCAAATAATGGAAGTCTGGAAGAACAGCTGCCTTGAGCCAGGGTACCCTGAAGCCACAAGATTGTCTTATGTCTCAGATTCAGTATGTTCTTTCCATCTCTTAAGTATTTAATAGGCACTGTCATTAAAGTAGATTTTACATCTTGTGCAGTCCAAGATCAGTCTACAAGGGATTCAGTGTTTCATCTCTTTCTTCTTTGCCCTGTAGAAATCATCTTAGACTTTGGAGACAGGCAACAAAGGCTTTCTTTCTCAGCTCAGTCCTCATACAAAGGTAGATCTGATCAAGATTTGTGAAAGGCTCAGTGATCCCAGGCAGGTTCAGTTAAAAGCCAGCTGTTCTCAAGCAGTGAGCAGGTGAATTCTTCTCACCTTTCTCCTTGCTCTTTTTAAAGCTTTTGTGTGCTAATGATGGGTTTCTGTTAGGAAGAGCTCAACTCCCTTGCTGGTTAGGAAGATGAGAAACAAAGGTTGGGTGAGATCATATGTCTCACTGTGCACTTGAGTTGGATTTCTTTCACTGGGACCTTTCTAGAGGTTTGTATGGCTTGACCCTTGTTGACCTCTATTCTGGCCCCACTCCCACTCATCAGCTCACCTTTCAACCCTGAGTCCACCTCCTTGCAGCTGGCTTCCCTAAAATGGCCATTACCCTGACATTGTTTCCACCCCCATCCCCCATATCCGTCTGTCCTATCCCCAGAGTTGCTATCTCATAAAGAATGTTCTTAGGAGAATATCTTGGTTTACACGATGGTGGACGATAATGTCTGAAGTCTGCTTTTGGTGACCAACTAGTTACCTAAGTTTGGGAGCTTGACCCCCTTTCAAAAAAAGTTCACTTGAAAACTTTGACTAAAATAAAGACAACGAAAAATGTCAGGAAAGATACTTTCCTGGGAGGAGTGGCAGAATCAGTGTTGAAATTAAGCAAAGTGGGAATCTATTTTCTTTTTTGGCAGTGCTGGGACTTGAGCTCAGGGCCTCATGCTTCATGCTCTCTTTTGGCTTTTTTGCTTAAGGCTGGCATTCTACCACTTGAGTCACATTTCTGCTTCTAGCCTTTTGGTGGTTAGTTGGAGATAAAAAGTAGCAGAGACTTTTCTGCCTGGGCTAGCTTCAATCACAGTCCTCAGATCTCTACAACCTGAGTAGCTAGGATTACAGGTGTGAGCCACATTCCTGGCTTGGAAGATTATTTTGTAAGAAACCTGCATCAGAGATAAGATGGGTGATTGAATTATGCTTTTCTGTTCTTGAATTGTCAGCAAGCTGTGGCTGTGAATGTTTTCATCCACTGATATTTTCTTGGGAGGAGCTGACAATTTTAAATGCAGAACTGTGTGCATAGAACAGTTCCCTGGAAATCTTCCCACTGGGCTATGTGCAAAGCAATGGCGGTGGCTTGTTTGGATGATATTGTAATTTCATAGGCTCTTGAGGAGTCCCAGAATCTAAAGTTGGTTTGGGAGTTTCTCCTCCAAGGGAATAAATTATTTCCAGATGCTATTAGTTTTGATTAAAGAAGTAGATACTATTTCCTGCACTGAGAAATGAAAATGTGCTGGCTGAGTTTATCCCACCAAAATGATGAGCTGAAATATCAAATTTATCCTATCTTTACCAAAAGTTGAATGCTCAGATTACCCGAAGTATAAACATCTCATTGAACACCAGTAGTGTTGACTCAGGGCATCTTAGAAATGAATGCAGTGTCAAACTCTAGATATTATGGTGGGAAAATTGTCCTTCAGGTTTCCCTGTTTAATTTTCTGCCAGATTTTCAACATCCTGCTCAATAGACTTCAGCACCCTCCCCTGTGGAGATAACTGTCTCCATAAATCAGCAATCAACATCAAGGTAATCAAAGAACTTTCCCCTTGTGAAGGGCCCTAGCTTCGTGAGTTGTATGAATTTTGTACTCTACACAGACTCCGTCTGGATCCCCTTCCAGGGTCCTGTGGCCGCTTCTGCCACTATATTGACACTGAAGAACTGACATATCAGGGTCGGGTCCTTTGTCTCTACAGTTTCAAAGAATGAGGTCCAGGGACACAGAGGCAGAAGTAAAGGTGGCAAAGATTTAATGAAGAAAACAGAACTTCCACTAGATAGGAAGGGTACCAAGAGAGAGTGCTGCCTGGGGTATGTTGTACAGAGGTTAATAATTGCTCTCTCTCTCTCTCTAGGTGAGAGCTATGTGACTCTGACGATCATTGGACAGCCTGTAGGCCATAGCAGCTCTCAGACCCAATCAAAGGCTCCATAGAGCCTGCATGAGCTCTCCATGTGTCATTTAGCCCCTCTGACTGGATGCCCATTCTAGTGCACTGTTCTGGGGTCCATTGTTTAGGTGTAAGTCTTCCAGGGCCCATGATGTTCAGAGGCCCTGCATACATGACTGCCCAAGGTCATAGTGATGGGATGCGTTGAAGTCTAACATGCACACAGGCCATTATGAGGAATACACAATCTCTGTGGGAGGGGGTCCTTTGCCCTGATTGCCTAGCCATACTTTTTTTTAAAATCTGCTTTCAACATTTTTTCCCTCCTTACCTTAGTTGAAGAGATAGGTTTTCCTTCTACTCCCTACATTCTTTTTTTTTAAACTCCACTCCAGCTGATGTAGACCTTTTGTTTTTCTGTTTGTGTTTCTTTACTTATAAGGTTTACTCCACTCCAGCCAGTTACTCCCTACATTCTTATGTTGTTATTCCACCTCCTATTTTCTTTCCTCTCATGTAATGTTTTTCAACCAGAGATGACTTTGCCCCCAGACAACTTTCAGCAATGCCTGGAGTGATTTTGTTGTTGTCATTGTGACAGGGTCTTACTATATAGCTCCAACTTGAAATCCTTCTGTCTCAGCCTTCCAAGGGCTGAGGTTATAGGCATGTACTACTACACCCAGCATGGTTGTACTAAGAGGGTACTAAAGGCATCTACTAGGTAGAGGGCAGGAATGTTATCAGACATGCACAGGGCAGAATTATTTGGCAAATAGGCATGACAAGAGCAGAGCCACATATTTTCTCTCATATGTGGCCTGAGTATAAGTGTAATTGCTGGAGATTGGGCCTAGGGGAAGGGAGATGATAGAGGCTGGGTTTGATTGGTAAATGCTGTAGGTCTGTATTGGGGAGTTGTCCTGGATCTCATTAGTGTGTACAGTTCACAAAGAGATAGATCACAGATAAACTAAAATATTAGAGAGAGAAAAAAAAAGAATTGATAAGGTCTAGAGATAGATCTGATCCTTTTCTATGCCCTTGAAAGAATAAAAAGGCAGAGTATGTTTATTTGAAGGTGAAAGGAAAACCATGAATGTGAGTAAGAAGAATTAGCAGACTCCCCCAGTGAGGAGGGGACCAACCTGTAACCCCAAGAGAAAAAGTCTGAGACTTCTTTGTCTGTTCTGCTAGATAGTTGGTCCTTAGTCCCCTCCTTCTTGGAGGATGTATCTTTGGTTTTATTTGTTAAGTAGTGATCACACACTGTCAAAGACTTTTCTGATTGGATGTAAGCTTTTGTGTGGTTTGGACCCCTCCCCTCCTGGGCAAAAATGAGAGGGCTTTTGCATCTGGTTAAAGCATAGTTTCCAGGACTTGGCACCTGCTGACCCAGGACAGGATCAAGACAGGTGATTTATTGTCCTTTCTTTGTTTCCTACCGTGTCAGCCTTTGTTCCAGTTGCTTTTCTATCCTTAACTGTCTAACAAGGGCCAAATACCTGTTTCTCAGAATTGTTTGGCAACATGTCAATAGTGCCAAGAGTAAAAAACTCTGAACAAAGAAAATATCCCTTGTTGGGCACTAGTGGCTCTGGTGGCTTACACCTCTAATTCTTGCTATTCAGGAGGTTGAGATCTGAGGATATCAGTTCAAAGCCAGCCCAGGCAGGAAAGTCTGAGAGACTCTTATCTCCAGCTAACCATCAGAAAACCAGAAGATGAAAAGTAAATGTAAACTTGGAAATATATCATTGCAGGCTCTGAATCAATATATTATTATTTCACTTCTGTGTTTATTTATTGGGTTTTTTCGGGGGGTGGCTTGAATTCAGGGCCTGGGCATAGTCTCTTAGCTCTTTTGCTGAAAGCTGATACTCTACCACTTGATTCATAGCTCCACTTGTCCTTTTTGGTGGTTAATTGGAGATAAAAGTCTCACAGATTTTCCTACCTGGGCTGGCTGAACCATAATCCTCAGATCTAAGTCTCCTGATTAGTTAGACCATACCTGTCATCCTATTCTTATTTTTCATTTTAAAGCAAGGCAAAAAAGATTTTAATATTTTTATATAAAATATAAGTTTCAGTGCAGATCAGGAAATTGGGTTTTGTTTATTTGCTTCATTTGCAGAGGATATAAGATGAAAAACTAAGAGTCACTAAGGGAACATGTTTTTGTAATCACATAAAATTCAGTTTAAAATGTCCTAAACATTTTGATGTTCCTAAAGTTTCATTTTCATGTTCTGCATAAAATAGGTTACGATCCCTTAGAAGTTAATGATAATTTCTTTGTTTTTTTTCAGACACTCCATTGGCCAGTGGTCACGCCACAGACTACCTATTTGTTGGAAATATTGTTTACACGGTAGGTTTTTCTCTTTATAAGTCCTTCTCAAATGACACATGTGTGAGTGATACCTATCGAATTCCTTTTATAAGGTTTTCTTTGTTATAATTCTTTATGGTAAATCTTTTGTTGCTGTTTTGTACTGGTCCTGGGGCTTGAAGCTTGAACTAATAAGTACATGAACACTCTCCCTGAGCTTTTTGGCTTTAAGCTGGAATTCTGTCACCAGAGCTTCGCCTCCACATCTGGCTTTTGGGTGGTTATTTGGTGATAAGAGTCTCACAGACTTTCCTGTCTCAGCTGGCTTCAAACCATGATCCTCATATCTCAGCCTCCTGAGTAGCTAATATCACAGGTATGAGCCACTAGTGCCCAGCTATGGCAAATATTGATGTTTTTAGATTTCTTAAAGTTCAGAATGGTTAAGAAATGCTCACATCATTGTTTAGCAAAGATTTAGACAGAATTAGAATTCCTAGCCAAGGGATAAATGGATTTCCCTCCTTCAAATAACTGTTCATAATCACAGATAAAGGCAAAGCATATTCAGAAAGGGGATTTTTGTCCCCAGATCATCTAAGATACTCACTGTAATAAGGGCATTTCTTGAAATAAACCTGCTTGTTTGCTCCTTAAAAACAACCCTGGGAGGCTGGGTAGCAGTGAATCAAGTCTGTAATCCTAGTTACTCAGGAGGCTGAAACCTGAGGATTGAAGTTCAAAGCCAGCCAGAGTAGGAAAGTTCCTGAGACTCTTATCTCTAGTTAACCCTTAAAAAGCCAGAAGTAGAGGTATGGCTCAAGTGGCAAAGCACTTGACATAAGCAAAATAAACGTCAGAGACAGTGCCCAGGTCCTGAGTTCAAGCCCCAGGACCAGCACAAATAAAAACAGTCCTTGGAGAGTTAGCTACCAAAATGGCATTTTTGAAAGCATTAGCAGCCTTGAAATTAGCTCTGGAAAAAACTGGTATTTGTCATTGAAAGACCTTTCTTAAACACTCCTCTTTCTTTTCACAGTATGTTGTGGTCACAGTTTGTCTAAAGGCTGGTTTGGAGACAACAGCTTGGACGAAAGTAAGTTATTTTTCTTTCCAATACAGATGGTTATATGTTGTAATTTCTTTTTATGCCTTGGGAAGACAATAAGCAATGTCTTGCTATCTTATTTTAAAATTTGCATGTACAAGTTTTGGTTCAGATTACAAGTTAGGATACAATAAAGACACTAGTACTGGTTCACTGGCTGCACTATTCATAATAGCCAGTTATGGAAACAGCCCAGATACCCTACAATAGATGAGTTGATCAAAAAAATGAGGTACTTATACACAATGGGATCTTAATCATCTATTAGAAAAAATAATACTATGTCATTTGCAGGGAAATGGCTGGGTTTAGAACAAATTGTGTCAACTGAGAAAAGCCAGTTCAGAGAGACAAATGGCTCATGTTTTTTCTCATATGTGGAAGCTAGATCTAAAATACAACTGAACATTGTAGCTTAAATAGGGCTGTGTGCATTTATACACAAACAGACTAAAGGAAGATGACCTTAAGGGAAGAACTCAAAGGTATAACTCCCTGAACATCTAAATACTATTTATCAAAGTGAATTCCAGGAAATGGGATCATGGTGGGGTATTATTACTTTTAGTGTTGTTTGTTTGGGGGTTTGGTCCTTTTTTGTTGCTGTTGACTTGTTATGGGACCTAATGGGGACACAGGAATGGAGGGAGGAAGGGTGAATAAGTGTAGTCATGATATTCAATGTGTACTGTGTAAAAAATGAACTATGCAACTTGAAGGCAGGGATGAAAGGAGGAAACTGGGGGAAAGTGGAGGAAAGGGGTGGCATTGTCCAAGAAAAATTGTACTCATTACCTGATTGATGGAACTGTAACTCCACTGTGGTAGAGCACTAACCTTTATCCAAAATGCTCAGGGACAGCATCCAGGCCCTGAGTTCAAACCTGAGGACCAGCACCAAAAAAAAACACACAAAAACCCAAAAAACTTAACTAATGGTTTGGGTTGTTGGAAATAGAAATCAAGGATTATTTTAAGGAAAGGGGGTTGAAGATATGTCTCAAGCACCTGCCTGGCAAGCACAAAGCCTGATATCAAGTTCCAGTATCTCAAAAAAGAACACTAAGAAAGCTAAGAAAAAAATTTTAACAACTCCCTAGATACTTAAGGGGGCATTAAAAAGTAATATGCAAGTTGATCTCATGGAAGTAGAGCAGAATTTAGTGGTCACCAGTGCCTAGGGAGAGGAAGAGGAGGAAGAAGATGGACAGAAGGTGGCTGATTATACAGGGTACAGTTAGATGGGAGGAATAATTTTTAATATTCTTTAGGACATAGAGCAAGTATGGTTAATGATAATTAAATGTATATTTCAAAACAACTAGAAGACAGGATTTTGAATGTTCCCAACACAAAATATAATATGCTTATGATAATGGATATGCTAATTACCCTAGTCTAATCATAATGCATTTTATATATTTATATATATATATATATATATATGTACATGTACTGGATTATCACACTTTACTCCACAGCTATGCCAATGAAAGTTAAAAATGACATAAGTAAAATATATTTAAAGTTTAAAAGATATATATCCATTTTAGATTTGTGTGTGTGTGTGTGTGTGTGTATTGCTGGCCCTGGGGCTTGAACTCAGGTTCTGGGCTCTGTCCCTAAGCTTTTGTGCTTGAGGCTAGTGCTCCGCCACTGGGACCATTGTTCTACTTCTGGCTTTTGGGAGATAAAAAGCCTCAGAGGCTAGCTTCAAACCATGATTCCCAGATCTCAGTTTCCAGAGCAGCCTGTTTTAGACTTTCTTTTTAAAATCTTTGCAAAATTAATGAGAAATTTAGAATCTCAAAATTATAAACAAATTAACTATTTACCTGCTGTCAGTCCAATGACTCTCACTAAATCATTATTTTATACAGCCCTAAGGTGGAGCAGACATTAGAGGTGTTCTAAATTGTGTTTGCTCTAGCTAGGGCATAGATCATACCAGAGAAGGTCAGCTGGGACAGAAAGCACTTTTATTTCCATGATAGTCTCCTGTCACTAGTGACTTCAACTCATCATTTAAAAATCCAAGACAAACTGAGCACTGGTGGCTCACACCTCTAATCCTAGCTACTCCAGAGGCTGAGATCTGAGCATTATGGTCAGAAGCAAGCCTGGATAGGAAGGTCTGTGAGAATCTTATCTCCAATTAACCCCCAAAAAGCTGGAAGTAGAGTATACACACATGCATGAGTACATGCATGTGTGTGTGTGTGTGTGTCTGCGCACACACACACACACACACATTCCAGGACAAGGGAATTAGAAAAATGAACTTTCCATTGACTTGGAGAGTTGGAGGGTTGTCACAATCTTTCCATCAGTAAAGGTGGCTCAATCAGGGATCCTACAGCTATGTTGGATTGAGTGGAAAGGGAAGCTTCACTACCAACAAATGAGGCCTATCTGAACATCTATTATTTCTTTTGCAGTTCAGTCACCTGGCAGTGTGGGGAAGCATGTTGATCTGGCTGGTGTTTTTTGGTGTCTACTCAACTATCTGGCCTACTATTCCCATTGCTCCAGACATGAAAGGACAGGTCAGTACCACAAACGATGGGCTCTTTCTTATGCAGTGGTATTTGTATGTGTATGAATGAGTAGGCTTCTATCTTGTGACTATCAACTTCAGGAAAGGCCATTGTTACCCAAGTCTATCAAAACTTATCAAGAGTTTGACCAATCAAAGCACTTGGAAGAGGCTGTCCAGTTCATTGAAATTGCATTTGATCATTTAAGTGTTGGGAAATTTTTCACCATCAGTCCTCTAACTTACCAAGTGTGTACATGTGTAACAAATTTTGTGTTAATTACAAACAGCACTGCTATGGATTGCCATGGTCCTTGGAAAACCAGAGCCACTTTGAATCATTCCTTAGTCAGTGGTTATATGAATGAGAGGTTCAAAGTTAAATGCATGCATAATTGGTAATTAGTCACCTGTGAGAGATAAAACTAGTAACCAGATCAACAGTGATCCAATATCACATTCGACTTTTTGAGTTAGACAGACTTGGACTGATTGAAGGCCTTTATACTCTTTGGAATATGCTCTGCTTTGTCGTTTTCTTCTTCTTTCTCTTTTTCTAGAGAAAAAGAGCTAGAGCTTGAACTTAGGGTCTGGATATTGTTCCACTTGACTGACAGCTCTACTTCCAGATTTCTTGGTAGTTAATTGGAAATAAGTCTCACAAACTTTTCTGCACTGGTTAGCTTTGAACAGCAATCCTCAGATTTCAGCCTCCTGAGTTAGGATGCCAAGCATGAGCCCCCAGCATCCATCTCACTTGGAGAATTTTATGAGTAATGGATCTGCCAACTGACAGGCTGTGGGTCAGTTAGGTGCAACTGGAAAGTGAAGCCCTTTTGAAATCACCTGTGTATCCCCCACAGCACTGCTGTGGCGAGCCCTCTGTGTCCATTCCTTTGGGAAACTCTAATTGCAAATAGATGAATTAGGCTGGTTGCCAACTCTCACTACCAACAAGCGATTCAGTGGGGCCAAGCTTGTCATGCAGCTACTTAACATGCTTTTGTTCTCACTGGATGAATCCTGTCTGCTTGCAGGTCTATATGGTTTCAAGGTTTAGCTTAGTGGTGAATATGCATAGGGTCATGGGCTGTATATGATCTAATGATGTCATAGACATTGGAGTTTGTATATGTTTCCACTATAATGTTCAAACAAGAAAACCACTTAATGATGTATTTCCCAGGACATAGCCTAGACATTAAGGAGTATCTGTGGTAAGATGTTCCTGTCATCCAAAAGCAATTATCTTATTAAATTATAGTTCACTTTATATAAACACTTTTACTGGAACAATTTTATTTTTACCTTTTTTTAAAATTTGAGTTGTTTCAGCAGGAAGGTAATGAGTGTGTGTGTGTATGTGTGTGTGTGTGTGCGTGTTGGGGGGGGGCTTTAACTCAGGGCCTGGCTGCTTTCCCCTGAGCTTTTTAAATCAAGACTGGTGTTCTACCACTGGAGCCACATCTCTACTTCCAGCCTTTTTGCTGGTTAATTGGTGATAGTCCCATGGACTTTCCTGCCTGGGCTAGCTTTGAACTATGATTCTCAGATCTCAGCCTCCTGAGTAGCTAGAAAAACAGTTGGTACTCAATTCCTTCCTATGTTGATTCAACAATTTGCTAGTCTTTGGAAAAGTGGCAAGGAAGCATTAGACAATTTTTTAAACCATTTTGGAGAGCCACTTGTGTAGATAGTAGTTAAACTAGCCTGAAGTCTCAAAAAGACTTTCTGCTGCCCCATGGGGAATCCAATGTATGTCATAGAGAGGGTTCCTATGGCCAGGTACAATCAGTGAGCAAAGACTTAAATGGGCAACTGTTGAAAATATACCCAAATCACATCCACTTCTTGAGCTCTAGGCTGGTAGATGCCTAGGAGTGAGAGGGCATTCTTGGAAAGAGCTGCTTTTTAAAAACTATTAGCGGAATTCTTGTGGCTCAGCCTCCTCAAGGGGCTGAGATCTGAGGATCATGGTTCTAACCCAGCACCAGCAGAAAAATCTATCTATAAGATTTTTATTTCCAATTAATCAGCAAAAAGCCAGAAGTAGAGGTGTGGCTCAAGTGGTAGAGTGTGAGCCTTGAGTGACATTAGCTAAGGGAGACCTACCTGGGCCTGGGTTCAAGCCCCACTACCAACATAAACAAATAATTACTATGATTTTCAAAAGTACTTCTAACAATTTTTATAAACCATTTTTATAGCTGACTTTGCAGTGGGTTTTGGCAAAGAAACATGGGTCTTTGAAGTTCTAGAAATAAACAAGTATCTAATAGTAAATAGCATTTCTCCCCCCAAGAGCCAGAGACAGCCTGGACACACAGGATGTTCTGTGTATTCATGGTATCTTCAACCATTGAAAAGCTGCATTGTTTCTTCCAAGGGTTTCCTGAATGAATGTGATTAAATATTTCTTTGTCTTGTCCATTAAATTTGAAATTTTCTCACGGGAGGAGAAGGCAAGTCTTCCCTGGAGGGCAAAGGAAAGAAAGGACTATAGAATGAAAAGAGCTGTCCTCCACTGTCAAAGAGTTTTTATCTTCTCCATGGCACCTCATGATATGATATAAGAAATGACACCGGATAACAAACCAGAAGTTCTGTGGAAGATTTTGAAGTCAAACAAATCATTCACATATTTTGCAGTATTCAGGGAATTTTAAAAGACATCCATTTTTTCTAGGACCATGCTTAGCTCTACAGTAGATTCAAAGTTCAGCTGTGGGCTGGGATGGTGGCTCAGTGGTAGAGTGCTTGCCTTGCATGCATGAGGCCCTGGGTTTGATTCCTCATAAGCAGATTCCTCATAAGCACCACATAAGCAGAAAAAGGCAGAAGTGGTGCTGTGGCTTAAGTGGTAGAGTGCTAGCCTTGAGCTAAAGAGCTGAGGGACAGTGCCCAGACCCAGAGTTTAAGCCCCACGACCAACAACAACAACAACAAAAATGCTGGGTGCCGGTGGCTCACGCCTGTAATCCTAGCTACTCAGGAGGCTAAGATTAGAGGATCACGGTTCAAAGCCAGCCTGGGCAGGAAAAGTCCGTGAGACTCTTATCTCCAATAAACCATTAGAAAATCGGAAGTGGCGCTGTGGCTCAAGCAGTAGAGAGCTCGCCTTGAGCTGAAGAGCTGAGGGACAGTGCCTAGGCCTAGAGTTCAAGCCCCACGACCGACAAAAAAAAAAATGTACTCATTACCTTGCTCATGTAATTGTAACCCCTCTGTACAGTATTTTTACAACAAAAATAAAATAAAATAACAAGTTACAGTAGCTCACTCCCATCCCTAGGTTCCTTTGCTGATGCACAGCTTTGAGTTAGGAAAACTGGTTCTAGAGTCAGATAAGGAAATGCACTTATATTTTCATCATGCATTTCTCAGGGCTTCTGATTTGAGTGTGTGAGGAGAAGCCATGAACTTCATCTTTGCTCAAAATTCAAGAAACCTGGCTAAGCACTTTCCCTAGCTAAAGCCATGTGGCTTTCACACATTTCTTATCCTGTGGTAACTTCTTGATCTGCAAAATCAGAATCAGATTACCTACCCTAATTAAGAGGATTTTGGAGGTAACTTATGGGAAATGGAAAGCATACATGTTCTTCTCTTTCCTGGACAGTTGAAACTATATATAGAAACATTGCTACGATCGAAACTTCTAATGTTTTTAGCTAAACAATTTTAACTTTGTGTGTGTTTGTGCACACCCTCTTGTGCGTGTGCACGAACGTGCATGCCCATGTCCCTTAGAGGTTTTGCTTTTTGTTTTGTTTTGTTTGTATCAGTCCTGGGGCTTGAACTCTGGGCCAGAACACTGTTCCTAAGCATTTTTCACTCAAGGCTAACACTCTACCATGTGAAGAACAGTTCCATTTCCAGCTTTTTCGTAGTTACTTGGTGATAAGAGTGTCATGGGCTTTCCTACTCAGGCTGGCTTCAAACTGCAATCCTCAGGTCTCAGCCTCCTGAGTAGCTAGGATTACAGGTATGAGCCAATGGCAGCCAAAAGTCCCTTAGGTTCTTTTGTTTGTTTATTTGTTTTTGTTTTTTAACCCAGTCAAGGCTGGTGCCCTACCACTTGAGCTACACCTCCACTTTGAAAAGGTTTGGGTGATTAATTGGAGATAAGAGTCTCATAAACATTTCCTCTAGGGCTAGCATTGAACCTCAATCCTCAGTAGCCAGGATCCCCAAGTAGCCAGGATTTACCAGCAAGAGCTACCAGCACCAACCTGCTGAAATGTTTTTTAGTAAAGTCCATTGACCACTTGTATCAAAATTATCTGAGTAAAACCACAAGGTTCCCCTAGAATACATGTGCTTGTAACACACACACACACACACACACACATACACACACACACACACACACACACACACATTCTGAATCAGAATCTCTGGGTATGAAGTCCCAGTATCTGGAGTTTAATAAACCTGCAGGCGATTCTTTCCTTTAAAGTTTGGGGGACTGGTGCTCTGATATATTATTCCATTACAGTGCTTTAGCTTGTGTTAAATGTGATGGGAGAAGATGGTCCACTGAAAATATCCACAGCTGATTGCATTCTCAGGGGCAGGGTTGATGTGAGATACACCAGGTATACATGTGAGTGTTCAGGCAGCTGGCTTTCTAAATAGGGAATTATACCAAAGACATTATGTGGCTCAGCATGGAAAAATACTCCTCACCAGTGCTGCTGATTTTCCTTCAAAGTCCTTTTCATTGCTAGTTAAAGAAAAGGAAAAAGCTCTTTCACTTCAAAGCTTACAAACTGCTAACTCTGACTCCAGTGCCAAGTACCAAGTCCAAGCCAGTTTCTGGCATATGGCAGGCTTACATTTTTTTTCTTTTAATTCTAAAAACAAGAATGGGTTTGTTTTCATCTTTGTTTTGGTGCGGATCCTGTGGCTTGAACTCAGGGTCTGGGTGCTGTCCTTGAGCCACTTCCTCTCAAGGCTAGAACAGTACCACTGGAGCCACAGCCCACCTGCAGACTTTTTTGGTAGTTT